GCCCTGCTGACCTCTGCACACTGTCCTACTGACTTCTGTGCATTGCCCTACAAAATTTCTACTGACCTCTGTACACTGCCCTACATCCTACTGACCTCTGTACACTGCCCCACATCCTACCGACCTCTGTACACTGTCCTACATCCTACCGACCTCTGTACACTGTCCTACATCCTACCGACCTCTGTACACTGTCCTACATCCTACCGACCTCTGTACACTGTCCTACATCCTACCGACCTCTGTACACTGCCCTACATCCTACCGACCTCTGTACACTGCCCTACATCCTACCGACCTCTGTACACTGCCCTACATACTACCGACCTCTGTACACTGCCCTACATCCTACCGACCTCTGTACACTGCCCTACATCCTACCGACCTCTGTACACCGCCCTACATCCTACCGACCTCTGTACACCGCCCTACGTACTACCGACCTCTGTACACCGCCCTACATCCTACCGACCTCTGTACACCGCCCTACCGCCCATCCTACCGACCTCTGTACACTGTCCTACATCCTACCGACCTCTGTACACTGCCCTACATACTACTGACCTCTGTACACCGCCCTACATCCTACTGACCTCTGTACACCGCCCTACATCCTACCGACCTCTGTACACTGCCCTATATACTACCGACCTCTGTACACTGCCCTATATACTACCGACCTCTGTACACTGCCCTACATCCTACCGACCTCTGTACACCGCCCTACATCCTACCGACCTCTGTACACTGCCCTACGTACTACCGACCTCTGTACACCGCCCTACATCCTACTGACCTCTGTACACTGCCCTACATCCTACCGACTTCTGTACACTGCCCTACATACTACCGACCTCTGTACACTGCCCTACATCCTACCGACCTCTGTACACTGCCCTACATCCTACCGATCTCTGTACACCGCCCTACGTACTACCGACCTCTGTACACCGCCCTACATCCTACCGACCTCTGTATACTGCCCTACATCCTACCGACCTCTGTACACTGCTCTACATACTACCGACCTCTGTGCACTGCCCTACATACTACCGACCTCTGTACACTGCCCTACATCCTACTGACCTCTGTACACTGCCCTACATCCTACCGTCCTCTGTACACTGCCCTATATACTACCGACCTCTGTACACTGCCCCTATATACTACCGACCTCTGTACACTGCCCTACATCCTACCGACCTCTGTACACCGCCCTACATCCTACCGACCTCTGTACACTGCCCTACGTACTACCGACCTCTGTACACTGCCCTACATACTACTGACCTCTGTACACCGCCCTACATCCTACTGACCTCTGTACACCGCCCTACATCCTACCGACCTCTGTACACTGCCCTATATACTACCGACCTCTGTACACTGCCCTATATACTACCGACCTCTGTACACTGCCCTACATCCTACCGACCTCTGTACACCGCCCTACATCCTACCGACCTCTGTACACTGCCCTACGTACTACCGACCTCTGTACACCGCCCTACATCCTACTGACCTCTGTACACTGCCCTACATCCTACCGACTTCTGTACACTGCCCTACATACTACCGACCTCTGTACACTGCCCTACATCCTACCGACCTCTGTACACTGCCCTACATCCTACCGATCTCTGTACACTGCCCTACATCCTACTGATCTCTGTACACTGCCCTACATCCTACCGACCTCTGTACACTGCCCTACATCCTACCGATCTCTGTACACCGCCCTACGTACTACCGACCTCTGTACACTGCCCTACATACTACTGACCTCTGTACACTGCTCTACATACTACCGACCTCTGTACACTGCCCTACATCCTACCGACCTCTGTACACTGCCCTACATACTACCGACCTCTGTACACCGCCCTACATACTACTGACCTCTGTACACTGCCCTACATACTACTGACCTCTGTACACTGCTCTACATACTACCGACCTCTGTACACTGCCCTACATACTACCGACCTCTGTACACCGCCCTACATACTACCGACCTCTGTACACCGCCCTACATACTACCGACCTCTGTACACCGCCCTACATACTACCGACCCTGTACACCGCCCTACATCCTACTGACCTCTGTACACTGCCCTACATCCTACCGACCTCTGTACACTGCCCTATATATTTTTTTTTTTTTAAGGTTGAACTGGATGGACTTTTGTCTTTTTTCAGCCAGACTAACTATGTGCTTTTGTAACATACTACTGACCTCTGTACACTTCTCTACATAATGTCCTAGCTGCTCAAAAAAATTAAAGGAACACAATTTAATCAGAGTATAGCATCAAGTCAATTAAACTCCTTTGACTCACAGATGAGTAGCAGAGGGGGTTGTTAATCAGTTTCAGCTGCTTTGCTGTTAATTGTTTCGGTCCATCAGACGCCACCAGGTTGCACGTCAGACTGTCCAGGAGCTCAGTGATGTCCTGGTCAGGATCTGGGAGGAAATCCCCCAGGACACCACTTGTCCTCTCATTAGGAGCGTGTCCCAACGTTGTCAGGCATGCATACAAACACATGGGGGCCATACAAACTACTGAGGACCAATTCAATTTCAGCAAAGTGGACTAGCCTGTTGCACCATTTTTTCACTTTGATTTTCAGGTTGTCTTTGAATTCAGTCCTCTGTGGGTCGATCATTTTCATCAAACGATGAGGCGTCCTTACGTTCCTAACACATTACCCCGTCCATATCCGTATAGATATTCAGCAGGAGATTTTTCCCCATTGAGATCTGATGTGTTTTCAAAGTGTTTCCTTACTTTTTTTGAGCCGTGTATTAGGCTACGTTCACACTAGCCTTGTGTGCAGGCGGCAGAGAGGCGTTTGGGAAGCGTTTTTACCGCTTCCCAAACGCCTCTGCCAATTCTGCACATTACAGCACATGGTGCTGTTCTAACGGGAGCGTTTGCGTCGCGTTGCGTCGCGGCAAAACGGACGCCTCTGGACGAGTCAGGAGGCTTTGAAGCCTCCTATTCTCGTCTATGGTGCCGCTCCGCAAACGCCTGGCCGGCGTTTGCGGTGCGGTTGCGACGCGTTTGCGGAGCGGTAAACACCACTCAAACTGCATTATAGGCGTTTGTGGGGCGTTATTAACGCTCGGCAAACGCCTAGCAACCACCGCTAAACCGCGCATGCGGCGTTTGCGGAGCGTTTGCCGAGCGTTAAAAAACGCTCCGCAAACGCCGGACCAACGCTTGCCAAACGCTATAGGGGCGTTTGGCAAGCGTTGGCAAAACAGCCTAGTGTGAACGAGCCCTTACTTACCCTGTACAGAACTCAACCCAGATGGAACACAGAGTAGCCAGGCCTGAAACTAGTCAAGCAAGTCATCCTGTAGTATCAGTTGTTCTGCTTTCATGATGGATTCCTATGTTAGACTTAGGCCCCTTTCACACTGACCATCCAGTTGCGTCCGCATGTCAGTTTTTCAGGTGGACCTGATCGGACCATCCATATACCTCTATAGACCTGCGGGTGTCAGCGGACAAGTGTCCACTGACACTCCCTGGCATCCGATCCTGTACGCCAAAAACAGACGGATGGGGATCCATTTCCATCTGACCGCCCCAAAGAAGACAGTGGGCAGTGTCTGTGTCTGCTCTGCAGTAGTGGAGCAAACATGGACCTGTCATCTGCCGGATCAGCGGAGAGATCCCCCGCTAAGCAGGCGGATCCGCTGACTGGTCCACCTCATCTGAAAGAGGCCTCAAAGTGACCAATTACTTTCCAGACACGAAACCTATTGTGAATGGAAGTAAATACCAAGTTTCCCACTGAAGCTACCTTTTAAGGTAGGCTGAGTTTATATTTTTACAGCAACATTAGTTTTATTTGATTTTTCTAAGTTTTCTACTTGCCATGTTTTTTTTTTTATTAAGATCTTGATACTTAACTTTTTTTAATTTTTTTTTTTAAAAAAGGCACCACACTCCGATCATCTTTTGATCTCTTCTATGCTGATGTTCAGGTAGATCTCCACCTCTCAAAGATTGACTACCTCTATTCTATAGAAAAACCTGCATAGATCACATGACCACATCATTGAGGATGGAGGATAACCAGAGTCACATGACTGAGAAGATACTAAACCTCACTCTGGAGATCATCTACCTGCTGACCGGAGAGGTGAGGAGGATTCTGGGAGGTCACATGACATCACTCTTATCTCTATTAATAAAACGCAGACCTGACCGGAGAGGTGAGGAGGAGTCTGGGAGGTCACATGACATCACTCTTATCTCTATTAATAAAACACAGACCCGACCGGAGAGGTGAGGAGGATTCTGGGAGGTCACATGACATCACTCTTATCTCTATTAATAAAACATGGACCTGACTGGAGAGGTGAGGAGGGTTCTGGGAGATCACCTGACTGGAGAGGTGAGGAGGGTTCTTATTAATAAAACACAGACCTGACCGGAGAGGTGAGGAGGATTCTGGGAGGTCACATGACATCACTCTGATCTCTATTAATAAAACACAGACCTGACCGGAGAGGTGAGGAGGATTCTGGGAGGTCACATGACATCACTCTGATCTCTATTAATAAAACACAGACCCGACTGGAGAGGCGAGGAGGATTCTGGAAGATCACATGACATCACTCTTATCTCTATTAATAAAACACAGACCTGACCGGAGAGGTGAGGAGGATTCTGGGATTATAACATGATATTCATATTGGTTCCTCAATACAGAGTTTTTTTTCTTCTGAAGTCTGAAGATCATATGACCATCACAGTGCCTCCACTTCAATCCCTGACACATGAGAGACACAACATGCAGAAGATTCTAGAAGTCACCAAGAAGATGATGGAGCTGCTGACAGGAGAGGTGAGCGGTGCCGGGAATTCTGGGACATTCTCCAGTAACAGACAAGGGATGTGTCTGGATGGTGACTGTATCATTGTGTGTGTCAGGTTCCTATAAGGTGTCAGGGTGTCACTGTCTATTTCTCCATGGAGGAGTGGGAGTATTTAGAAGGACACAAGGATCTCTACAAGGACGTCATGATGGACAATCAGCCGCCCCTCACATCATCACCGGGTAAGAGGAGACTTTATTGTAAAGGAGAGAGCAGTACGGAGGATCAACCTAGATCCCCCATCATCTGATAAACACATAGAAACAATGGATTCAGTCAGTGTGTGTGTTTCCTACAGATGGATCCAGTCATGGGAACCCACCAGAGAGATGTCCCTCTCCTCTACATTCCCGGGAATCCACACAGAAAGATCACAACTATTCACAGCGTGTTCAGGTAGAAGAATAACAATTATTGGTAGTTATAATTTATATATACGGTTTGTTTAAATTAATTTTATTATTCTATTTTCAGAGTGGAAACCTCAGTGATTATAATATTGTAATTAAAGAAGAATTTCAAGAGGAGGACATTATGATGGAGTCATCCAGTAAGAAGCCAAATTCCTGCCCTGAATGTGGGAAATGTTTTGCAGAGAAATCACTACTTGTTATACATCAGAAATCTCACATGTGGGAGAAACCATATTCCTGCCCTAAGTGCAACAAAGGTTTTTCAAGGAAATCAGACCTTTCTAAACATCAGAGATTGCACAGTGGTGATAAGCCGTATTCATGCCCTGAATGTGAGAAATCTTTTCGATTGAAATCATTGCTTGATAGTCATCAGAGATCTCACACGAGGGAGAAACCATATTCCTGCCGTGAATGTGGGAAATGTTTTGCACGGAAATCATTACTTGTTATACATCAGAGATCTCACACAGGGGAGAAACCGTATTCCTGCCCTGTGTGTGGGAAATGTTTTGCAGGGAAATCACTGCTTGCTACACATCAGATATCTCACACGGGGGAGAAACCATATTCCTGCACTGAGTGCGACAAGTGTTTTTCAAGGAAATCAGACCTTTCTAAACATCAGAGATTGCACAGTGGTGATAAGCCGTATGCCTGCCCTGAATGTGGGATATCGTTTAGATTGAAATCACTGCTTGCTAGTCATCAGAGATCTCACATGGGCGAGAGACCATATTCCTGCCCTGAATGTGGGAATCGTTTTGCACGGAAATCATTACTTGTTCTACATTATAGATCTCACACGGGGGAGAAACCATATTCCTGCCCTGAGTGCGGCAAACGTTTTTCAAGGAAATCAGACCTTGATATACATCACAGACTCCACATTGGGTATAAGCCACATTCGTGTCCTGAATGTGGGAGATGTTATACAAGGAAATCATTACTTGCCAAACATCAGAGATCTCACACAGGAGAGAAGCCGTTTTCATGTCCTGAGTGTGGAAAATGCTTTTCACGCAAATCAGACCTTGTTATACATCAGAGATCTCACACGGGGGAGAAGCCTTATTCCTGCCCAGAGTGCGGAAAGTGTTTTTCACAAAAATCAGTCCTCGTTGTTCATCAGAGATCCCACACAGGGGAGAAGCCATATTCTTGTCCCGAGTGCAAAAATAGTTTTTCACTGTTGTCCTCTTATTACTTACATCAGAAGATGCACACAGGCCAGCAGCCGTATTCCTGCTCCGAATGCAGAAAAGGTTTTTCAAGAAAGTCAGCCCTTGTTATACATCAGAGATCTCACACAGGGGAGAAGCCGTATTCCTGCCTCGAGTGCGGGAAATGTTTTACACAGAAATCATACCTTGAAAGACATCAGAGATCTCACACTGGGGAGAATCTGTACTTCTGCCCAGAGTGCAAGAAAGGTTTTTATACGAAACTCAGACCTTGAAAGACATAAAAAATGTCACACTGGAGAGAAGCCGTATTCCTGCCCCTGAGTGTCAGAAATGTTTCTCACAAAAAACAGACCTTGTAAGACATGAGAGATTGCACACTGGAGAGATTGTACACTGGGGAGAAGCCGTATTTCTGCCCTCACAGTGTGGCAAATGTTTTGCACATAAATCAGAAAAACCTTGTTAGACATCAGAAATCTCACTGATGGGTGTAGGAAGTGGAACATCCCTGACATCAGAAATCTTACGGATGGTTGTAGGAAGTGGAACATCCCTGACATCAGAAATCTTACGGATGGTTGTAGGAAGTGGAACATCCCTGACATCAGAAATCTTACGGATGGTTGTAGGAAGTGGATGGTTGTAGGAAGTAGGAAGTGGAACATCCCTGACACATCATGGGTGTAGGAATCTTATGGATGGTTGTAGGAAGTGGAACATCCCTGACATCGGAAATCTTACGGATGGTTGTAGGAAGTGGAACATCCCTGACATGAAATCTTGGTTGTAGGAAGTGGAACATCCCTGACATCAGAAATCTTACGGATGGTTGTAGGAAGTGGAACATCCCTGACATCGGAAATCTTACGGATGGTTGTAGGAAGTGGAACATCCCTGACATCGGAAATCTTACGGATGGTTGTAGGAAGTGGAACATCCCTGACATCGGAAATCTTACGGATGGTTGTAGGAAGTGGAACATCCCTGACATCGGAAATCTTACTGAGTGGAACATCCCTGACATCGGAAATCTTACTGATGGGTGTAGGAAGTGGAACATCCCTGACATCAGAGAAATCTTACGGATGGTTGTAGGAAGTGGAACATCCCTGACATCAGAAATCTTACGGATGGTTGTAGGAAGTGGAACATCCCTGACAGAACTCTTACGGATGGTTGTAGGAAGTGGAAAATCCCTGACATCAGAACTCTTACGGATGGTTGTAGGGAACATCCCTGACATCGGAAATCTTACTGATGGTTGTAGGAAGTGGAACATCCCTGACATCTGAAATCTTACTGATGTAGGAAGAAATCTTACGAAATCTTACTGATGGGTGTAGGAAGTGGAACATCCCTGACATCAGAAATCTTACGGATGGTTGTAGGAAGTGGAACATCGGATGGTTGTAGGAAGTGGAACATCCCTGACATCAGAAATCTTACGGATGGGTGTAGGAAGTGGAACATCCCTGACATAGGAAGTGGAAAATCCCTAGAAATCTTACTGATGGGTTGTAGGAAGTGGAACATCCCTGAAACATCTGATGGTTGTAGGAAGTGGAACATCCCTTACATCGGATGGTTGTAGGAAGTGGAACATCCCTGACAGTGGAACATAGAAATCTTACTGATGGGTGTAGGAAGTGGAACATCCCTGACATCGGAAATCTTACTGATGGGTGTAGGAAGTGGAACATCCCTGACATCGGAAATCTTACTGATGGGTGTAGGAAGTGGAACATCCCTGACATCATCTTACGGAAATGTTAGTGGATGGAAATCTTGTATGGTTGTAGGAAGTGGAACATTAGAAATCTTACCTGACATCAGGAAGTGGAAATCCCTCGGAAACTCTTACGGATGGTTGTAGGAAGTGGAACATCCCTGACCTGAACTCATCAGTAAAAGTCATTACGGAACTCTTGATGTTGTAGGAAGTGGACATCCCACATCGGAAACTTATGGATGGTTGTAGGAAGTCATCCCTGACATCAGAAATCTCACTGTGGGTGTAGGAAGTGGAACATCCCTGACATCAGAAATCTTACGGATGTGTCAGGAATGGACTCAGCACTGGTGGTGGGACTCACCTGCCATGTGGGCTGCAGTACCAGGGCTGACCAGCGGGTGCTCTCAGCAGCCAGAAGCTCACTCCTGCAATCAGCCAAACCTGGGGCTGATTGCAGAAGGTGTATTTAAGGCATGACCAGGCCTGTGATCAGGGCCTTGGTGTATGTTTTCCCATGAGCCCCTGTAGCTGGTTATCCTGTGTTCCTGCTTCGTTGCTGACCCTGCTTGATCCTGACCTCTGCTGACCGTCTCCTGTTGAACCCCTGGCTTGCCTGACCATCCTTCTGCCTGATCCCCTGTACCACGCTGCCCGTGAGTTACTGAACCCAGCTTGTGACCCTGACCATTCTCTGCCTGCTCCTTTGGTACCTTGCTGCCCGCACGTTGCTGACCTGGCCCGTCTGACCACGCTAACTACTCTGCCATCCATCCATACTGCACGGATCCAGCGGTCCCTGCTCATACCTTCTGCCTCTTCACATCAGGCTTTCTACCTGCACATACCTCTGGCGGATCCCTCTACCACTAGCAGGTGTACTCAGGGGCCGCGACCTGGTTCCTGTCTGCTCCAAGTCCATCCCCACCATCAGGGGCCCTGGTGAATAAGCAGACTGGGACTTAGACTCCGCACCCTGGGGAATCCCGTCCTGAGGATCGCTAGAGGTACCACCAAACGGTCATTACAGAACCCTACGGCCGGCCTGACCATTCCACCTCTCCAGCCCTGACTACGCCTGTGTTCCTGCACCTACTAAGATTAGTGGAAGGTTGGTTTGTTCACTGTGAGTTATATATCTGGGTGGCTAATCATAATTATATTGTACCTGAAGTCTGCGTTTCCCTGTGTCAGTCCACACCTTTCTGGTCATTCCTAGATTCCTGACAGGATGGGTGTAGGAAGTTGAACATCCCTGACATCAGAAATCTTACGGATGGATGTAGGAAGTGGAACATCCCTGACATCAGAAATCTTACGGATGGGTGTAGGAAGTGGAACATCCCTGACATCAGAAATCTTACGGAAATACGGGTTGTAGGAAATCAAACATCCCTGACATCAGAAATCTTACGGATGGTTGTAGGAAATCAAACATCCCTGACATCAGAATCTCTTACGGATGGATGATGGATGTAGGAAGTGGAACATCCCTGAGTTCAGGTTCGCTCCTAAGTTCTGAACTATAATCCAAACCCAGCTGAGGTCAAAGAAAGCAAAAAAACGTTAAAATTAATTCAGTCCATTTTTAAGGCTAATAGGAAAGATATTTTCAAAGGGCATGGGGAGCTGAGAACTGTCCTGGGGGATATCTAGATGTATACCAGACAGCTACATACCAGTCAGCCTAACATCAATAGAATGTAAGGTATTTAAAGCACTGAGTGTTTTTTGTGAGTTGGTGGGGGTTGTTCCATGTTGATCTACATAGCTGGACAATGTGATTGATGAATTATTAACGTTGTTGTTTTTTTTTTTTAAGAACTTTCCAAAGGTGTATGTGTGCTTATGTAGCAAAGTGCCCCTGTTTACCCACCACCTTCCTCCCATGGTGGCATGAACAGCTTACAACCTCAACCTGTATTACCCACAATCAGAATACTTCTGGGCTCCTATCATCCTGGGAGGCTGTTAAAGGGTGCTTGTATATACTCACTGTGGAACCTAAGGGGTTAATCCTCTGCATTGTGTAAAAAGGCTGTTAGATCCTGTCTTCCTTGATCCTCCCCATATTCTACTGTTCCCAATACAGCCATCCTGTTGATAGTACAGAGAGAGCTCTAGCCTGCTGGGGGGGAGTCATTGTGACACATGCAAATGTAAGAATTGTTCATGAAATTTTAGTGTGACCAGATAGTGTGCTATGGGCAGTAAAGTACTCACCTAAGGGGTTAATCCCATTGTGTAAAAATGTTTGATCCTGTTGATCCTCCCCATATTTTACTGTCTGTTGTGCGCTCTTTTGTGCACATGCAGTTTATGTGTATTGCTATTTTTGATGTTATTTCATGTGCGTTTTTGACGCATTATGTGCATTTTTGATCCAGTTAATTTTTTCTCCTTTCTTTTTCTTCAACTTAAGGACATGTGCGTTCTGGTGTGTTCTTGACACGTTTTTACTGCATTCCAGTACAGTCCAGTGCAGAAAAAAATGCATGTTCTACTTTTTTTTTTTCTGGAACTGGAACACACTGGAAACTGACCGCATTGGTGTGAACTATGCCACTGTAAACCATGGACTGCAGGTGGTGTGGACTGGCCCAGAGATTTTCTTTTTTTTTTCTTTGGGAGGGTGCATGTGATCAGCACAGGGCCAATCAGCACTGTACAGACAGAGGGTCAAGGGTTATGCAGCCCATAGGACAGTCAGAGCAAAATGAAAACTCCTCCTACAAGCTTTAACCAGTGCTCATCTGGACAGTGATAGAAGTTACAAGACTGCTATATACTGCTGATGAGAAAAGGTGTTTATCAGTGTATATTTACTAAAATAATTGCATTTCCATGTTCTGTGTACTGTGGGAGAACAGATATAGTGAATGCAGGGTACGGGGAGACCAGATATAGTGAATGCAGGGTACGGGGAGACCAGATATAGTGAATGCATGGTCAGGGAGACCAGAGTGAATGAGGGTCCGGGAGACTAGATATAGTGAATGCAGGTTTCAGGGAGACCAGGTATAGTGAATGCAGGGTCCGGGGAGACTAGATATAGTGAATGCAGGTTTCAGGGAGACCAGATCTAGTGAATGCAGGGTCCGCGGAGACCAGATTTAGTGAATGCAGGGTCTGGGGAGACCAGGTATAGTGAATGCAGAGTCTGGGGAGACTAGATATAGTGAATGCAGGTTTCAGGGAGACCAGATATAGTGAATGCAGGGTCCGGGGAGAGCGGATATAGTGAATGCAGGTTCCGGGGAGACTAGATATAGTGAATGCAGGATCCGGGGAGACTAGATATAGTGAATGCAGGATCTGGGGAGACTAGATATAGTGAATGCAGGGTCCAGGAAGACTAGATGTAGTGAATGTAGGTTTCAGGGAGACCAGATATAGTGAATGCAGGGTTTGGGGTTCAGTAACACTTTAATGAAAGTGAAACTAAACTGTGTATGAATAAAGTATTATTTATTAATAATGAAGCAAGAACCCATCCGACACTGGACAGCAGATTGTCTACCAGTGGAGTCAGAAAGGACCGCTATCAGTAGCATCATGTTGGTCAGCAGGTAAAGGATCAGCAGAGTCAAGCTGGGTAGCAAAGGATCAGTGGAGCCAGATTGGACAGCAAGCAAAGGATCAATGGCATCAGACTGGGCTGCAGGAGAGCTATCAGCAGACTCAGGCTGGGGGTCTGGAACATGGGTATGGTGCATAATGGCTTTAGGCGGTGGTTGAGGACCCTGCTTGGCTGAGTGAGTCAGTCAGTCAGTTCCAGGCATGGATGGAACTTCCTAAAAAAGGTTTGAACAGAGAATTGTTGCTTTAGAGAAAAGTTGGCGTACTGAGAGTCCCAAATATGCAATGGTGGTGGTCAGGGGCAGTCTGGCCTACAGTTAATACCGGTACAGGGTAAACTGAGGTGGCTGGTACAGAGATAGGCAGCTGGCACAGATTTGACAGGAAATATTGATGCTGACAAGACTGGAGCAACTAGCACAGAAACTGTTAGGACTGCAACAGATGGCACCAGGCAAGGCTCTTCTGGTACTGGGACAGGCTAGACTGGAACTGCTGGCATGGACGTAGTCCGAACTTGAGCTGTTGGCATGAAGGTAGGCTGAACAGCTGTTGACGTAGGTGTGGCTCGTGGACGACGAAGTATAGTTTGGGAAGTTTTGATTGATTTAGATACTGTCCTGCGAGTGGTTACAGGATGCTGACCAGATTGTCCTGCCGGTGGGGGAAGTAGTAAATGCGATATCTCCTGCGCTCCGGGACCCAGACTGGTGGTGAAGTAGATGGACTCCAAAAAGGAAGGAACCACCGGAATAGACAAGGGTGTGGGGCAAAACTGTGAAGAACAACAACAAAAAGAAGGACGATTATCAGTAAGTATTTATAAAAGAATGGTACTCACAAACAGCTCTGAGGAAGAAAGTTTCGAAACGCGTCAGGTGTACTTGGCTTCCTCCATGATGGGATTTTGATCTTTAGTCCCTTTGAGGACTTACTGTCCTGTTTGTGAGTACCATTCTTTTACTAAATAAATTTTGGTTACTGAGGTAATGCAAGGTTGGTGCGCTTCTTTTTGTTGTCTCTTCACAGTTTTGGTGGGGAAGTAGTGACAGTATTGAGAAGCAGAGAGGAAAAGGTAGTAGTGAAGATATCTGAGGGGTTCTTGTAGGTAATAGAGTTGTAGAGGAGCGCTCAATGGGTTAAATACAGGAAAGATGCTGTGAGGTGGAACGGAGTGTGCATATTGATATCCCTATGTGCATTCCAACCTGCTACAAGCCTGACAGATATTGGGACACTGATAACCAGTGTATTGAGTACTGGAGCCACTCCAGGCAAAAGCAGAAGCGAGCAGACAACTGGACAGTGGTACTGAAGCAGCTGAAATGCTGGGACAGGGTGATAGGGCACTGCTGCCATTAATTTGTTGCTGCTAGCAGACCGAGCACAGAGACTGGTCATATAACTAGCAGCATTATTCATTTCATGCAGACTTTTGCTGGGACTGCACTTATGTGCACCACCATAAAGACTGGCCCCAACACTAGCTGGATGAAGAACTAGGACATAGGACTGCTCACTCAGATAACTGCTTCACAAGAACCTTGCCTGTTGTCTTTAGGTAGTCTTAACGTTCACCACTGCAATTCATATACAGTGCACTCTAAAGGGGTTATAGCCTACAGGTTATAAAGAATTGTAGTATTGAGCACCATTGCTGTTACTGTTTTCCAATGCCATTGCTTTTTGCTGATCTTGTGAATTACCAGGTCTACTTTAATCTTGCCCTATAATCTAAGCCTAGATTATAGACTAACTTTATTGGCTAGTGAACTGTGATTGTCCTAATTCTCTACTTGCTCATTTATGTATATACTGCTATTTACTTCTACCCATGACAATATATTAAATTCCTTTACCACTAACCGATCTGGTGTTTACTTTCTGAAACTGAACCATAGTTGTGTATAGGATATTTACAGTTGCAAGAGAAAGTATGTGAACCCCTTGGGATTACGTGGAGTTTTGCATGAATTGGAGATACTTTTGTAACCCTTTCCAGCTTCATGCAAGTCAACAATTCTTGATTGTAGGTCTTCTGAGCGCTGTTTTCTGTGAGGCATGGTTCACATCAGACAGTGCTTCTTGAAACCAGTAAACCCAAAACAGGCGTGTGTTTTTTAAGGGCAGGACAGCTGTCAGCAACACATCCAATATCATCACACTGATTGGAGTCAAGGTTGGCTCACTCCTGGCTCCAATTAGCTCTGGGAGAAGTCATTAAGCTAGGGCCTCACATACTTTTTCCTCCCTGCACTGTGAATGTTTACATGTTATGTGCAATTAAACCATGGCAACATCTAATGTTTGTGTAGTATTATGTTCAGCAGACTGTGTTCTATTATTGTGACTTAGATGACGTTCAGAGCACATTTTATGCCCAATTCATGCAAAACTCCATGTAATCCCAAGGGGTTCACATATTTTTTTCTTGCAACTGTATATTTGTGTTCCCTCTAGTATTGCAGTATCCACTTGCTTAACCTGGTGTATCAGAGGGGCTGAGGTTGTGCACAGAGTCAAGGCAAAAGAACAGATAGCCCAATCTACCGAGCTGTTCCTGTAGGGGTAGCAGATAGCCTCAGTGTTGTGTTAGGTACAGAGTGCTGGTATCCAGCAACAGCAGGGGAGACCAGATCAGTGTAGCTGCACTTAATTGAAACCAGACTATGATTAAAGTATAATTTATTATTAATGAAGCCCATCCAAAACCAGCAAACAGAATACAAGACACAAGTGAATTATAATAAAGTATGTACAATGAAAGGGAAAAGACAGATATGCAGGCCAAGACAGGGGATGCACGGAACCACCAGGGAGAAAGCTCAGGAAGGGGACCAGAACTGGGATCAGGAACAAGGAGGGCCCAATATGCGGTAGCAGGGTACAGGATGCTAGTACTGGCACAGGAACAGGATTACGGTTGGGAGCGGGATCAAGGTCAGGAGCAGAGCATTAATAACCAGGTATGTGGCACAAAGGCAAAACCCTGAGGCACTGAGGGAAGCTGGAGGAGGGTTTTATATACCTTTCCAGCAGCCAGCATTAAGGTGGAGACTGATTACAGCTGAACACTGGAACTAAACACTTCAGCTCTGGAAACCACGGTGCCACCAGCAGGTGATCCATGTCCTAACACTGGTACTCCTGTTACCCAGTTTAATTGCTATCTCTTTATACCCCTCAGTTTAATGTTGGTTATATGTTTCTGTCATGCATACAATCAGTAAAGGTCAATTGAACATCACTGTGTGGCTGGTCATTTGCTGATACGATATACAACACTTAGTTTCTACAAACAGGATCTAACATGTCAGACAGCAGTGACAGCAATGGTGCAATGGAAGAGCTCTATGGTAATCCCCAACAGGGGAACAGGCAGCTGACCACCTGTCCCCTCCTTCTTTGGTTCTGGATGGATGGGTTTTTGCCCCAGCTGCTGCCTGGGTTTGCAGATCCAGATCAGGATCTCGACAATTGGATCAGAAGACTGAAGAATCGGATCCAATCATATGGGATTCCTCCCAATCAACAGGCAAAGCTGACTATTACAACCCTGCACCCTTTGTGGGTGAGGGACTTTCACACGAACGCACCAATGGGGTCCAACTGTCCGTTTTTCAGGTGGACCCAACTGGTCCATCCATAGACTTCTATGGACCGACGTCGATGGACAGTAGTCTGCTGACACCCGCCAGCATCTGATCTGGTCCTGTACACCAAAAACAGACGGATGGGGATCCGTTCCTCATGCGTCCAGCGGATCGGATTGGATGACAATCGGGTGGAAACGAACAGGCGGTCCTTTTTCTATCCAACGGTTCCATTGAAATCAGCGGGCTGTGTCCTCTGCAGCAGCAAAGTGGACAGAGACCTGTCATCCACCTGCGCAGCCTTAATATAATAATAAAGTGCAAATAAATACACTCAGTCCCACAATATTAATCCATGTTCAGTCATGTTGACCAATAATGCAGCTCCTCATCAGTCATAATAAGTGATGATCCCGATGACGCATCAAAAGAAAAAATGGCAACTGCACCTGACTATCCAATTCTGATGGACTCCACGTCACATCTGAGCCATCACAGACTGTGAGCCATTAATAGGTGATAATTGCATGCTTCCCCTGCACACAGGCTTAGCACAGACATAGAAGGGTAGACAGACGAGGAGGTAGTAGATAGGATTGTGCTTCATAGAGGGGTTTTGTCTCTTCCAGAGACTGGCTCCCTTTTCCTTCCTCCTGACCTATTGTGTGCAGCATCTCGGGAAAGGTCCAAGCTGGAGCCACTGTTCAGACACTGCCAAGGCCACTCTCTTTAAAGAACAGTCTAGAGCAGCAATGGGCAAACTACGGCCCGGCGGACCTTTTAATCCGGCCCGCGGAGCTATGAGGATCTGTCCCCCTCGACGTATCTGCGCATGTGCCGGAGATCGCCGATCGGCTGCTAATGCCTGAAACTGGCACATGCGCAGTATCGAGGGGGACAGATCCTCATAGGAGACAGATTTTCATGCTACACCGGAACTGCGTGGGTACACGGCGAGAGGAACGCGTGGAGCAAAGGTAAGTGAATTGACACAGGGGGGACTTGGGGACTTAATATGGGGGATGAATTACTATATGGGGGATGAATTACTATAGGGGGGGATGAATTACTATATGGGGGATGAATTACTATAGGGGGGGATGAATTACTATATGGGGGATGAATTACTATGGGGGACTTGGGGACTTAATATGGGGGATGAATTACTATATGGGGGATGAAT